TACGCCTAGGTCACTCCCCAAGGGAGGCATACGAACCGGAAGTGGCAATTTTTCAATGTTATAGTCGATGATCGAAGAATGTATGCCCTTTGGCGAAACAATGAATTCTGATTCATTAATCAGTTTCCTGATATTTGCATACGATTCCGGAGAGGGGAGCTCGACTTATTCGAACATCAATTGTCTAGAAATCTTTCAAATAATCGATGATTCAAGTTCGTATGCAAATCTCTAGACCGATAAACTAGGATATTCTTTATAACTGGATGCTATTTGCATACGAATTCAATGTGAGCATACGTTGTAATCGGGCAAACCCGCGCGTGCCTCGGTCCGGCGCGGCGCCCCGCACTGCAGGCCAGAGGTTCACCGAAAGCGAACTAGATAATCGGGAAGTCTCATAATCTCACTTCACATGAAACCGGATCAAAGATTATCTTCCTGGTAGTGATGAGGATATTCGAAGACGCAAATTGCAGATATATTTGTATTTATCCATCAGAAATTTACAGCTCAACAAAATTACATGTGTGAGAGGTTCAGTACCAAGAAATTTTTTTGTGTGATTTCAATTTGAAAAACAGGGCTTTAAAAAGATGATGAAAAAAATTTACGACAAGATACTCGCGAGATGATCAAGAGGGATCGTACAGGGAGAAGAGGGGTGGATTATTGCTCATGATCGAAACTCACAATAAATCGAATTTAAATTCTTCCTGGGGCTTATGGAACTGCTTATCATAATACTGGCGTCTAAAAAATATATAAAGAATGTTTATTTAGTTTGTTGAATGTTTTGGGTATAGTATGGGGTCCTGAACTTAAATCTACATTTTTGTTTTTCACATAAAAAAAAATTATTTGAAAATGAAATTATATTAAATGAGAACAACATTATATTCCAAAGCAGAAATTATACGTCGTCCTCTATATCATTATCTTCAGAGTCATCTTCGCTCTCGCTGTCTGAAGATGATTCTCCAGAGTTGCCATCAGTACCTGTTAGTAAGTATATTATTTGATTATTGAAAAATCTTGGCATGATCGGAAGATATACCTGATACTTTCTCAGTTGAAGTCCCAGAGATTATGATATCATCAACCTCTGCTGAAAGAGCTTCACCAAGGTACCAATGGAAATCGTACCCAAAAGAAGTATCAAGGGCCCAGCCCCCTTCATTATTTTTCATGTAACTGACAATGACATAACTTCATCAAACCCAGTATAGTTGAGTTTAGCGATAAGATTCACACGCTGCACTTATATACAGGGTTACTGGTAAAACGATTCATACCACTGGTAGGGAAGGCAGTAAGAAGTGAATAAATCTATAATATACATTATACAAAAGTAAATGGTTTTTGAGATATTCAAATATCGGATCTCCGACAAAAGGAAAAAACATTATTGAATGCCTACTAAATCATTATACGTGCTACACTCTACCTGGCTGTTGCAGCAAATCATTGTTCAGATATGAAAATTGTTTCAGCAAAAAAAAGGAAATACTTTAAACCCGGGATTCATATTTCTGGCACAATTTGACAATTTGGCGCATGATTGCTATAAGAGTGCTGCGTGTAAATGATATCGCTAGATGCTGTAGAGCTGTATTCGTCATAATAATCTCAACTCGATAGTGAGGTAAAGAATAGTGTTTCAGTAAAAAGAAATCAACAACTACCCAATGGTTTATTTGTTATGAAAAACTTGTGCATATTTTGATAACAACGAAAAATCTCTCAGGAAAACCATTTTAATTGGTTTTTGAAATTTTAAAATCGGTTCAGAAACAACTAAGTTACAATGAGAGATATTTATGGTGAAACACCCTGTACGGAATGTGCAAATTGTATGCAAACCATCATCTCATATATACTGTGTGGTCCACTGACCATGGTCAAAATTTGAACATTTCTTCGATTATCGATTATTTGAAGAATATCCAGTCAAATGATGTTCGAATAAGTCGAGCTCCCCTCTCCGGAATCGTATGCAAATGTCGGGAAAATGATTAATGGGTCCGAATTTATTGTTTCGCCAAAGGGCATACATTCTTCGATCATCGACTATAACACTGAAAAATTTCCACTTCCGGTTCGTATGCCGCCCTTGGGGAGTGACCTAGGCGTATGCAAACCGGCGAGCGCCCCAATTCTCGTGAGATAAGATCATTGCACTTCATTGCCGAGCTTCTTCTTAAACAAAATTTTGAAATTATTTCCAACCGAAAGGTGAGGTCAGGACCGGGGCAAGGACTGGGTTGCGACTCTCCGAGGCACTTCTTATTGTTAACTCGGACTGAGTGAGTGGGTCCCTTAAATGGCATACCGACTTAGAACATCGATAAACCCTGTGTCACGGGCCAACAGTCTATTAATGGTTAAACTAGCAAAACCTCAAGCAAAACCCATGTTTTTTTTTAACAATTTGCGAAAAAATTTGCTAGGATTAGAGCCCTTAAACTAGCCTTAAATTATGGCATAATTAGTTTTGTGGTTGAACGATTATTTATGAAGTGGTTCTGCTGGCTTAATGGTTAAGCTAGCAAAACCCATGATTTTTCCCCATTACTAGTATTCTATACTGCTTAGGGGTTTTTCTGGAATTGGGACTATGCAATGTATAAAAGTTGAAAAATGTGTAAAAGTATTGTATGTATTTACACCTCATTGAAATCCTGAATAAAGTGATATTGCTTAAAAAAAAGATTCCTTCTAATTGAAAATTAGTTCTCTTCTAGAGTGACAACAACTTCATTACATTATAGGTATTATACAGGGTGAGTCAGCTTTTTATAGCAGGACTTCAACAGCTTGGAAAAAACATATTTTGCAACATGAAAAGTTCATGTTAACATAATATGGAGACATATGTATATGCATGGGAGCTTCGTTTCTGATATACAAGAGCTCAAAATTTCAGATTTTTTATATGTATCAATTCAACCCTCTTGAACTTTTCTGAATGCTGCCTCTGCTTTCAATGGAACACTAAATGTAGATTCTCTGTTTTATTTGGAACCTTATATATGTTTTTCTAAAAGTGTATGAATTTCCTGATGAATTAGGAAAATAATTTATACTTGAGAAAACTTTATTTTTGGAACACAGTTCATTAAATATTTCTTAAATTGAGATTTTTATCTCAAAATAGATTCAAGCTGTTAAAGTCCAGCAACAAAAAACTGAATCACCCTTCATTTTCAGGTTCCTATTATTGTGCATGTTCAGGTGCATGAACATTTCATTGAACACTTTCTGTCTGTTTGTAGGATAACCAAAAAGATGGAATGTTTGGAGGAAAGTTCCTTTCTCTACAGTCTTTGAAATTTTCCAGGATATACAATACTGTGTATTATCTGTTGCTGGATCTGTTAAGTAGGTTGTGATTGTAAAATCTCAATGAATATCATCTGGAATTTTATCCAGTTCGGAAATCTATTTTGTTTGAAAAATTATGGCAACTGGTTGATGATTTCCACATGGGAATAGGTTTTATCATGCTTATAAGTGTAATTGTACTCGCATGTCTTTCAATATACATACAATGTCATTGTATATAAGTGAAAGTACCTATTGAAAGAAAAAGCGAGCCAAAAAGGTATACCTAGTTCAAAAGTTTGAATACTTACATAAAAAAATGCAGTAGTCAGCAAATAAAATCACACAATAAGTCACGCAGAAATCACATTTCACACTACAACGTACAGGCACAGGTACCAAAATATGCAATCATGTGCAATTCAATTATTGCAAGAAGTATTGAAACATACTGCACAGCTGCACAGCACAATACAAAATAAATGTCTGATAGTCTGATCTGAAATCTGAAAGGAAAGTGACACATACATAAACGTCAATTATAGCCACCTTAATAAACTGAAAAAGGAAAAAGATAAACAACTGAAAAAAGGCTCCGTCTACAAAACCTCCGCGGCGGTTGGGTACTATTATTACCTGATGCGCTTTTGTTTCAGAAATTTTACTCGACCTCTCGAGAACAGCGAGAGCAATGGTTCCGTCGATCTTCTAATAGATGGCGACATTGCACAATTATGACATCTATCAATACTATCAATTTTTGAATTGCCGCAGATTTTTCGAATTCAGAGTTGAATAAACCCACTATTACCACAGCTATTACATATGTTCCGCGTACCTGATAAACCATTTGCCATTTTATCATGTGGAAAAATGTAGAATCAAAGTCTCGCTCGATGAGACGTAGAGAAATCATAGTAGGCGGTCGAGTGATTTTCCTTTTCAATACGTAAAAATGACCGAGTAAGCGCACCATCTACTTATTTTCATCATTATGTCTATAAAAATCAAAAATAAGTTGTGTGCAACCATAATGAACAGATGGATGATTTAATCTCACAGAAATCATATACTCACCTTTAATCTCTGTTTTGTTAGGAGAAAAAGACAGATTTTTTCATTTGATAAAAGAGATCGAATCATTGGAGTATTGCCATAATCACACTGCTCTAGAATGTATCATGATGGCTCTCAAATACAATTTTGAAAATTATCATCAATTCTATCAACCTTGAATTCTGAGTTTGAGCAGGGTTAGTAGAATTGATGATTATCTTGAATTCTGAGTTAGAATTGAAGTTGCGAGCTATTTTTTCTAAGGCGATGATGTAATGAAATTATACATCGATTTTTATTCGTAGAAACTACGTAGAAACAAAAAAAGAACATTTCAAAACATCTTTTTCTGAAGTATGTGAGATAAAGTCATGGTCTTCTGAACCGACTGAACCTTCTCCACCTAAATGACAAAGCAACAAATTGGCAGACGGTGAAGATGACAAAGAGTCAAAAGGATTCAAAACAGAAGAAGATTAAAAGAAAACCTAACCTTGAATTACAAGGAAAAATAAATCAACATCTCAACAACTTTAATAGGTATTTTTCGAGTTTTTCGTTTGGTTTTATCATCTTGTCCAAGTAGCTAAGGAATTATTAGTTATTCTTTTAATGGAAAAATGCCGGTCAGGGTGGATATAGTTCCTCCCCCACCGGCAAACTCGAAACAACTGGGTGTTACCAAATCCTTGCTCTATAATGGATCCAAATTTCAAGGATTTCAAAGATCTAAGGGAAACAGCTATGAAGTGGAAGTTATTTTACAGGTACATATCACATGTTCATTTCATTCTCCAGTTTGATTTTAATGGGGTCCCTTTCTTTAGCATGTTGATGAAGAAACCTCATATCTCTGTGGATATCTGCAGATAAATGGACTAACAGATGAATATCCCAAATTAACAACTTTCTTTGATGGGGAAATTATTAGTAAAAAATATCCTTTTCTCACACGAAAATGGGACGCTGATGAAGATGTGGATAGAAAACATTGGGTATGTAATAACCCAACAGACAATATTGGCCCTGATAGTTATTTTTTCATAAATTTTGTATGGGACTACTATTATTCTTATAGCGATTTCCATTGCCAGGAACCGGTGGAGTGTTTCTCCACTGAGTGTATATTTACCTCTGTTAATCTGTTGAACACATGCCAGTAAGAAGAGAACATATACATTGAGTGCAGAAACACTCCACCCGTTCCTGCCAATGTCATTGGAATTAGCTATTACTGTGGCTACATTTCAAAATATGGATTTATTGGTTCACATACTTGTATTCATTTGGAACAAAGATGTCTGAAAATTTCAACATCAGCCATCAATGAAAATCCGAGTGAAAATCCATCCTCAATGTAAAAACTTCTAGAACAATATATAAGATTTCCAAAATTTTTTCAATACCATGATATTAATTTTATGAATATTTAACCTGAATAGGCTATTGGTTAGTAACAGAAGTCCTGTTTCTTATTCTTTTTAATGTAGAAATCTAATTGTTTGTGAAATTTTTGCTAGTGTCTAAGAATGTAGCAACCCTACTTGTGTTATTGTTTTCATTATACTGCATGTCTTACTACTTATTCCCCTTCATAGACAAAAAAATGCAGTGCATTTTTATTGAAATAAAAAGGAGTAGATTTTTTATTGAATCAAATTAAGATTTTTTTGAGGATTTTTTCTGCAAGATAGTTAATTTCATAGTTTTGTTCCTCATACTTTATAACCTTCATATGCAAAAATCCACACCATTCAAATTCCTAGGATCAGCTTAGCTTTTTTTCATATAAAAATGAATTCACATTTACTGCAAATTTTGGAACATTTCTGGTAGATAGGAAATTGTAGTTAGGAAGAGAAAACAAGATATAATGTTCCAAAAAGGTACCATGAGGGACTAGTTGCTGATGTGCAAACATCCCCCACTACTACCAGTTTTCCTGATGAACTCACCATTTGGGAGTTAATAATTATTTATGTTCACAAAAGTACTGTTCAGATGTGCCTGTTTTTTTGAAACTCTCCATAGAAATTTTATAAAAATTCACATATGGGGGCTTGAAACCATGAAGACAGATATGAAGTTAGTTATCCTGTGAAAAAATTCCTAATATCAAAAATAATGAAAATCAACCACTTTTTATTTCAATGAAAATGCACAGCACTGTCCATAATGATGTTTGTATCCGAAACACTCATCATATTGGTGGTCATACTAGTCCAGATTTGGTGAAAATTGCTCCACTAATAGCTGAGTGATAGAGGGGGGCCCGAGGGGGGGCCTTTAAAGTGTTGAAGATTAGGGATTGTCCCATGAGTTTTTGCCTTGATGTCTATAATCTGAACTCATAAAATTTCATGATTGCAAAAGCTATCACTTTTACTGTTTTTAATTCTTCCAGATATCAATAATGTCAATATGTCATTAATGATACAGGACTTTTCTATCATAAGCAAAGGTTTAACCACATACCAAGCCACATACCAAATACATAATTAGCCTTTATTCATGCATTTATCAAAAATACCTTTTTATTCCATGAATTTTCCCATATTTCCCTACTATTCCTCAGAATTCCTGGAAATTATTCCATTTCCCTGTCATTTCCCAAAAGGGAAGTCTTGTTTCCCCTCTCTCAGTAGTTTGTAGTCTGAAAATTTTCCCGCATCTCTCAAAATTCCGACTGAAATTATTTAGGAATAGTTCCTTCCTCTATGTATTTATATGTATTGATGTATTCTTCCCAATTCCTTGAAACTTTCCACTTTTCAATTCAATACCCTGTAATTTCCCAAAATTTCTTAAAATTCCTGAATATTTTCCGTCATTTCTCATAATGTGTACAATAATATTGTCTTTGGAAAGTCTAAAAATTCCCCGAAATTCCTCAAAATTACCCGACATTTTTTTTTTTTTTTTTTTTTAAGCGTTTATTTCATCCCAAAATACACAGAGTGTTACATAGGGATACCTCTAATAATAGGTACAAAAATAATTTGATATCACACACTTCTGCCCTTCGTGGGCATGTCAATAATCAATCACTATATCTACAGGTAAACATATAAGAAATGTATAAAGTTAAGTTCTAAATATAAAAATTATGGTAGAATAACACAATAAACAAGTTAAGATGTATCACAGTGAAATAGTTGAGATAATAAAATATTTGGTTAGATATATCACAGTAGTAGGTTAATGACTGATATAATGAAATATTGCTTTCAATGGGTATACAAGGGAACGTGTCTCTTCATGACAATTTTAAATTTGTTTACATTCAATTTTTTTATGTTGGAGGGGAGTTTGTTATATTCTGCTGCTCCTTTATATAACAATGAATTCAGGCCATGACGTGAGCATATTCGTGGTAAAGATATATCTTTGCATTGTCTAGTTTCATATGGATGAATTTCACATCTCATAGGGAACTCCATTTGAGTGTGTCTCACCTGATTCAGTGCTTGATGAATAAATTCATTAACTTTCACCACATAGAGGCTATCCAGGGATCTAATATTGTATTTGCCGAACAAATTTGATGTTGTAGATCTCATTGGTAATTGATACAGGTTTTTGATGGCTTTGTTCTGTAGTGTTTTCAGTGGTGTTATATAACTCTCAAAAGTTGAGCTCCATATGATGATTAGGTATTCCAGATGGGAATGAACTAGGGAGAAGTAAACTGACCTCAATAGATATTTTGGAACAGTATAACTTAATCTCCGAAGAACACCTACTGGTCCTATAATTTTTTTGCGTACATATTCAATGTGCTCATGCCATGAAAGCTTTTCATCAATGATCAGGCCAAGAAATTTAATTTTACTAGAGTATTTCATAGTACTATTTCCAAATGATATTTCTTTTTTGGTGTAATCAGGCACCTTACATTTATCAATCCACATGAAAGAAGATTTATTCAAATTGAGGGTCAACTTATGGCAAGATAACCATTTGGTCAAACACTGGAGGTCTTGTTCGATGTTCTGAGAGATGACATCACATGTTTCTCCAAAGTATACAATTGTTGTATCATCTGCATACAGACGGACTTCCCCTCTAATTGTTATGTTCGTTAAAGAGTTGATGTAAATGAGGAAAAGGGTGGGACCTAAAATCGATCCCTGTGGTACACCACAGGTAATTTTTTTCTTTTCACTAGAATATGAACCGTATTGGATGAATTGCTTTCTATTTGATAGGTAGTCACGAAACCATGTGACATACTTCCCCTGAACACCGATCATTCTCATTTTTTCCAGTAAGATATCATGGTTGACTGTGTCAAAGGCTTTACACAAGTCAAGTGAAACAAGAGCACACTTTTTGTTTTTATCAATTTTCAGTTGTACTTCAGATATCAGATCAACAGCAGCGCTGGTGGTGTCACTTGACTTGCGAAAGCCATACTGTGATTTGGTCAATATACTATTTTCTTCAAGATATTCCAGCAGTTGCTTGTTCACGATTTTCTCAATTATTTTCGATAGTATTGGAAGCACTGATAAAGGGCGATAGTTATTTGGGTCTTCCTTATCACCGGACTTATACATAGGTGACACTTTCGCTAGTTTGAAGACTTCTGGTACTTTACCACATGATAAGGACTGGTTTATAAGTTTATACAAAACACTTTGTAGTTCAAGTTTACACTCTTTCACAGTCTTTGCTTCAATCCGATCCCATCCTGGTGCCTTGGATGTATCCAGGTCATCTATAATTTTACCAATATCCTCCTGTGTTACCGGGGTGAATGAGAATCTGGCATCACAAGTTGTTTCCTTGGCAGGGTCTATATTTTGGGATGTGATGTTTGCGGCCAGTTTTTCCCCAATTCCAACAAAATAGTTGTTCATATAGTTGCAGACTTCTTCCGGACTTGTGATGGTGTCATTGTTATCTGTTTTTATAGAAGAAATATGGTTTGTATAGGTTGTTGACTCGTTTCTAATGATGTTGTTTATGATTTTCCATGTTTTTTTTTGATCCCCATTAGTTCTATTGAATTTTTCTTCATAATATTTCTTCTTCGCAGCTTTGACTTCAGTTTTTACAGATTTTTGAGCGATTTTGTGTTGGTCGAAGAAATATTCATTACTTGGAAATCTTTTTTTCTTTTCGTATAGATACTCTTGATGTTTTATCGCTTGTAGCACTTTCGAGGTGAACCAGGGTTTGGAGTCTTTCCTGAATTTGTTTTTACATCTTTGATAAGAAGTGTTTTTTTCAAAACAATTAGCTATTTTTCCATAGTTTACATCTATGTCAAGGGTGTCCAGGAAATTTCTATCAACTTCTAAGAGATCTTGCTTTAATCTCTCCAGATCAATTTTTTTTTTCGTGTAGAACTTTTCAGGTTGTTGTTTGGAGATCTCAGTATTTATTTTCAGAATTTGTAGTTCATGATCACTAATACTGTTGCTTATTATTGCTAGTTCTATAGATGCAGTGACTTTTGAACTAATTAATGAATGGTCAATAAGTGTTTGTGAATAGCCAGTGGTTCTTGTGGGAATAGTTTCATTGACTATTTGAAACCCATTTGTCACACAGACATCTTTGTAATTGGATACTATTCTTGAATTGTCAATTATATTTATATTGATGTCACCCATAATGATCACTTCTTTATTAGTTAGATTTGCCAGTTCCTCATCCAGAAAGTCCAAAAAATGTTTGTTGTCACACAGTTTTCCAGGTATAGCAGAATATATGACCAATTTCCTCGACTGACAATCTTGATTACATTGAATTCTATGCGCTCTTTCACGAATATGGCAGCTCCCCCTCCTCGTTTTTCCCGACTTGCAAATACTGCTTTATATCCCGGAATATTGAAGTATTTTTCCTCCTCCTTCATCAGCCACGTTTCAGAAATGACAAGAGCGGTTACGTTTTCAATTTCGTCAAGCATGATTTCAAGTCTTTCGAGTTTGTTTTTTATAGATCTAGCATTCATGTACATGATGTTCACACTTTGGGCATTAGA